TACTATTCTTGTTGTTAGTATTATTAGTATTACTAATTCATTATACCATTACTATTGCTATTATTATTATTGTTAATAATATTGTTATTCCTATTAATATTAATTTTTTTAATTTTTATTATATAATACATTCGAAAAACTAATTTAATCTAATAAAAAAGCACATCAAATAGAAGAAAGGAATCCAAACCAAGTCCAAAATACCCACTGATTTCGGCCCATTGAAATAGGTTGTTTGAATTTTAACACCCCCAAAAGTCTTGCATTTTGGCCCAGAATAGTAGCCCAATTCACAGGGCCCAACTGATTTCTTTCCATCACCTAACAGCAAAGCCTAAAAAACAAATTAGGTCATATTTGTTTCTTCTAAGAAGCAACAACCGCATCTCTTTCCTCCCTTTCCATTTTTGGTCGATTTTGTACCTCTCCTCACCATCACATGACTTTGTTTAATCATTTTCATGAAAGTTTCAGAAGCTACTTGAAGCTATTTTGTTCTCTTCCTCAAGTCAAAAATTTTCACAAAGATCCGTTGGAAGACAAGAGAGGGTCACGGGTTCCTTAGCCCTTTTCTTTGTTCATCCATGTCAGTCCCCTTTTCTGCTATCTTGCATCACGATTTTGACCTCTCACAATGACTATTTCTCAAAATTTGAAGTTTTCAAAATCCCGCCCAAACATGAACCTTAGATCTACATCTCCTATAAATACTCACATTCGGGTAGGTTTAGACAGGTTGGAGCCGCCGCTCGAACACTACTGTAAACACCACTGTTTTTTTACTCTTATCACTCTTCTCGTCTCTTAGAAACTCTCAGAAAGAGCTTTCAAACTTTATTTACTGTCTCGGTGTACTTTAGCTGTGATAGAGGTGCTCGAACCCATTCGACTCAAGGTTCGGATCTGTTCATAATGAGAGAGTAAATTTGAGGTCAAAGCTCCGGTTCGCTGCACTACAAGAGCCGAAGAGTCTTACTTTGAGACTCAACGATGCCATAACACTGCATGGAAACCGCACATCCATGAGTCCATTTTTCAGCTTTTACCGTGTTTAGACATCAAAAATGCACAAGATAAAATCTTCTGTGGGGCTTGGACATGGCTTCAGATCGCTTCACTTCGTTTCACTTATCTTACTTACCTGCTACTCTAACTAACTTATATTTCAGTTATATGTGTACTCTTGAACGTAGAATTGTTACATAATGATTGGACTGTTAACCATTTAGAGTCTTTGCTTTATGATATCTAGTCTTAGGACCAATAACTTAATGATTTCTCACGTATCAGTAGTGTTAGGATAATGAATCTTTATAACACTTTAACATTTTGGGGCAGTACTATGTCATGATCTGGAAAGTTTTCTCTAAGTATTAATTGGTTCTTTACAATAAAGAAAGTATTTTGGGATCTCGGGTCGTTTTTTTCTAAGTTAATTCATTTTTGGCCAAATACATATGTACTAAAGGTGGTACCTATTGAACACTTAATCTTAATATAAAATGTGTCTATTGAATAAAAATTTGATAATCCTAAACAAAGCTAAGCTTGTGTATGTCACTTGCTATTGACATGGCAAGCAATACCAATTAAAAAATAACACATGTTAAATCTTAAAAGAAAATGAGAGAGACATGGCCCTTCTAATTCCTCATCGTCTTCCCCGACAGAGCCTGCATCTCCTCTACAGTCAATCCCCCCTCCACAGTCAATACAAAATGTGCTTTAATATTATACCTAGTGAATAACCAAAGAGAAAAAATAGTAAAAAAATTGTAGCATCTCCCCAAGTTGAACAATCGAATCAAATTAAAATTGAATCTAGCATTAACATCAGCAACTGCTAGAACAACATCCCGAGCTGCTTCTACAGCAGCAAATGCAGACATTTACTATCTAAGGTTGTATTGTGGGTCAGGCCCGGGCCTAAACGGGCCAAACGGGCCGGGCTTTGGCAGTCCCGGGCCAAACGGTCCCGGTTATCACGGTCCCAATGGGTGGAACCGGCCCACGGCGGTCCTATTGGTCCCGGGCTAAATGGGCCGGGCCCATGGGCCTAAACGGGCCTAAAGGGCTTTTTCGTTCTNCGGTCCCAATGTGTGGAACCGGCCCACGGTGGTCCTAAGCCCATATGGTCCCGGGCTAAATGGGTCGGGCCCACGGGCCTAGCGGGCTTTTTTCGTTTCGGGCTATTTTTTTTATTTTTTTATCTAAGGAACTTTCTTGTAAACTATATATGTATATACTAGTATAAATTGCTTATATATAGCTATATAAATATATATAGTATATATAGTATGTATAGTATGTATATATAAGGGTGTATTGTGTGTATATATAATTATATATTGCCTTATATAATATATAGCTTATATATATATTGCCTTATATATATATGTATGTAAATATATATATAAATATATATATATATATATATATATATATAGTTTATCTACACTTTCTGATATATATAGTGCCTTATATATATATGTATATATATATATAATTTATACTCCATTAGATATATATATA